CACCGTCAAAGATTTAATTTTTTATTCTTTGGGCCGAAGCTAACGGCGTTCATCGAAATTCACTCGCTAAATAAGGTTGTTTTCTGGTATTTCAGTAGCTCATCTGAGTACCGCGCTAAAAAAAGACCCGACGAAAAGCGTTAGCCGCATATTTGCCTCTCGCTAACTCCTAAGGTTAGCTCGCGGTTTTCGTCGATGTGAGTACTAGGCTTCAGGCAGAGAGGCAATTTTAGAAATGGGTCTAACAAGTTCACCAACCCATCCTTGCCTAGATAAACTTCAATTATGCGCGCTAAAGTCCAAGCGGCAGGGGGTGTGTTTGAATTCTCGATGATTGACATATCCCCAGTAGCTACGTTCTTCCTCTCCGTATTCCACTTAGGTCGCTGTTGAAGTGTAGTGAGGTACTCCTGATGCCATCTCTTCCAGAAGCCTTGTAGCATTGCCTAGACATTTTGCCAGTAATCCAGTCGTTTAACTGCTACGTGGCCAAGATCGATCCTAGGACTGATGTATAAGGGCGTCCAATAAGCAGGTGTGCGGGTCGACGGACTTAATTTGAGTTAAAAGGGTGTACATTTGGTCAAATGTGAGGATGGAATTCCAGGTGACACGACGCAGATGTAACTTCACGGAGCGAAAATCTGACTCCCATTTTCCGCCCCAGTGGGGTGCGTGTGGTGGTATAAAACTCTGTTTGATACCCTCGCTTGCCAACTCTTCGGTTACTTGAGTGTTATGCTGCTGCGACAGGTTGAGCTTATACATATCGTCTAACACTTCCTTTGCTCCCACAGAGTTGCGTTGCCGCTGAAGATGCGGGTGCACTTGCCTCAACGGGAGATACATCGGCGAAGTGCAGCGATAAATTTCGGAGGTCACAAGGCAGATGAATGTATCCCTTTTTCTTTTGAGGTCTCCGTCCCTTGTGCACTTTGAGTAAAAGCGGTCCGGCATAGTATTTTCAAATCGGTATGCTTGACGTACCCGAACAGCTGGCAAGTCCGCCATGTATCGATCAGTTGTTTGGTGGCGTTGACATGTGACAAGCATGTGTCAGCTTGCGAATCAAGTTGCGTGCCCCAACTATTCAATAATGTTGGCGAACGATGACGAAAAGTGCTGTCACACCTGGATGAAGATGTACCCTGTGTTCGAGTTCCAAAATAAGCAGGGAAATGCTGTGATGTTTCGGCACAAGAATTGTGTGCTTGACTTCCTCCGGTAGTAGCGAGTTTGTAAGGCACCCACCTACACGAAGCAAGCCGTTCTCGCAAACCATGGGTGAGAGTGTTCGAAGTGTTGGAAAATTTGCCACAGCTTTTCCCCTTTGCAGGTGTAGATCAGACGAGAAGCTTCCTTGAGCCTGACTTAGACAATAAATGCGTGCCTCGCTGATTTCCTCAAGCGTGAGTGTGAGGCTTGACGGAATCAGTTTCTGCATTCTGCTTCGATTAATAAAGCGTAGAACATAAGCAGCGCAGCGATTCAGCTTGCTCCTGGAAGAAACTCGAAGCGATAGACACTACATCGGCGACGCTTCAGCTTCAGATTCAATACGGCTGGATAAGGAGGAGGATTTCATCCCATCCATTATGGGCGTTTCCAAAATTGTGTTAAGATTGTTGCCACTATGCAGCTTTGAAGCAAGCAGATCGTTGCGGTGAAGCCAATGTGGACCCTTCCACCACAACTCGTAGCTCATGAGATTAGCTGCTAACATTCGCATCTATGCGCAGTCGGCGGTGTTATCCTTTGAGCCAACGTGATGTCATGCGCTGCGTGGTATGACATCCAGGATCTCCGAAGTACGGACGAAAGTACCACGAAAGGATAACTGTGGAATCGCACCAAGCATGCAAAATTATATCCTCGTGATGCAAGCCTTCTTGTACAGCTCGGAGAAGGCGAGTGAGCAATATCGCACCTCAGAGTTCCAGCCGAGGAAGACATTGTTGCTTTAGTGGCGCAACGCGTGTTTAAGCTGCCATAAGAGACACCCACCAGATGCCGTCTGTATTGCTTTCACGGCTGTATACGACAGCGGCATACGTCTTTATAGATGCGTCTGAAGATCCATGTAATTTGATTTTTCCCATTCGTTGTGTACATAACGTGGGATCCTTAAGTGTGTTATGTGGTTGATATCGTCACGACAGGTATGTCACCACTCAGCCAGCTTCGGTGGGAGTTTTGAATCCCAGTCCAGGTCAAGAAGCCAGAGTTCTTGGAAAAGGATCTTGAACTCTACTACCACAGGCGCCAAAACACCTAGAGGTTCAAATATTCGTGAGACAATACTTGCCGATTAGTAGCATCTGGCTGCGTAGAAAGTGATGTTATGTAGGGCGTCGTCTTGGGGATTCCATTGCATTCCTAAAACTTAAACCGCACTGGTTATTGGTAAGGACATCGTCTACGTAAAAGTCTAGCACAATTTTTGAGGCTATGGAAGACTTATCCTGATGATCTCGCGCTAGTTGTTCCAGTACTCTGACAGCAGGAAACGTTGCACAGCGCGTTCCATAGGTGACTGTGCAGAGTTGAAAGAGCGTCTCTCCATACGATCCGTTGAAGGTTGCGGTGCTCAGGGGCTACCCGGATCTGGCGAAACATTTGGACTATGTCCGCCGAAAACACAAGCTTGTGCATTTGAAATCGAATACGTTGAATGCTGGGTCCGACATGTAAGGCGTCATTTAGAGCGTGGCCGTTTGCGTCTGTCTTCAAACAACGATGTATTTGCCGTCTAGGACTCGGGAATGTGTGGTCAGAAAGTGCTGCTCCCCCTTTTCGTGCGAAGGGTCTCGTTGTGTATGCTCAGTGCTATCCTCGGTCTCCCAAAAGCGTTGAAGAGAGGCGTTTATGTCAACAGTAGTCATGAGCGTTTTGGCGGTTGATGGGTGCGGCATTGCAACGGAAGTGATTATCTATTCCAAGATCGAGCTCATGGCAATAATATTTCCATCGATGTCATATTTTTTCTCACCTGACAGAACAGACCAAATTTTTTCATTTCCCAGAAAATTGGAGTCCATTGTAGATCCTTAAAGCATTTTCGTCAATGTCGTCCCGTTGAAGTGATGGTGTGATTTAGCCCAGCACATGGGCTGCGACAACAATTGCAGCAAAGCGACTTTCCTTTCACAAAGGAGTTCAGCTGTTCGGTGTTCAGACTCTGAAATTGCCAGCATCTACACAGCTAATGGTCAGCAGAGCCACACTTACCGCAATTGTCACAGTTAACTGCAATAAGTGCGCGATTCGCTTTGGCAGGCTTGTCCTGCCAAGATCGAGTTTTATTGCCGATATAGCTTGGCTTAACTCAAAATCCTGGCAACGATCATTAAGTAATTTAAACAAGTCTGTAACGGTTGGTGAAGCAGCGCCTCTGGTGTCCTCTACCCACTTCTTTCTCGAGGCGGGGTCAATTTTAGCATGTACAAGATCACCACCCAGCAGTCCCGGCTGGTCTCTCCCACCACATATCGCATCGCTCAATTAGTTCGCGGCCCGACATATAAGGAGCAGTAGTAAGCAAATATAGATATTTTTTATCGAAAGTGTCGATTATCATAAGCTCTGTGTAAAAATTATACAACTCTGTGACCACTTGCTTTTAAGTTACAAATTTTTAAGTAATACAACCTTTGGGTTTTTCTACAATATGGAAAAAAAGGAGTTTCGTGTCCTGATTAAGCACTGTTTTTTGATACGAAAAAATACAGTAGAACCAAAAGCTTGGCTTGATAAACATTACCCAGATTCTTCTCCGGGAAAATCAACCATCAAAGATTGGTACAATGAATTTAAACGTGGTCGTGTGGTCACCAAAGACGCTGAACGCAGTGGTCGCCCAAAAACAGCAGTTACGCCAGAAAATGTGGCAAAAATCCGAAAAATGGCATTGGCCGATCGCAAATTGAAATTAAAGGAGATAGCTGATGCCTCAAAGATATCGGAAGGCAGTGTGTTTACGATATTACATGAACAATTGCTAACACCGGACCAAAAGCAACAACGCATCGATGCTTCCGAGACGTGTTTAAGCATGTTGAAGCGCAATAGGACCGATTTTTTTCGCCGTTACGTAACCATGGATGAAACCTGGATACACCACTATACTCCAGAATCCAGTCGTCAGACTTCTGAGTGGGTGGTAGCCGGTGAAAGCCGTCCGAAGCGTCCCAAAACACAAATATCGGCGGGTAAGGTTATGGCTTCTGTATTTTGGGATGCACATGGGATTTTATTTATAGACTACCTGGAAAAAGGTAAAACAATAAACAAAAAAAAAAAAAAAAAAAAAAACTGCTGGATCGATTGGATCGCGTTATCAAGGAAAAACGTCCACATATGGCCAAGAAGAAACCACTGTTTCACCAGGATAATGCACCATGCCACAAGTCTATGGCAACAATGGTGAAATTGAGTGAATTGAGGTTCGAACTTCTGCCGCACCCACCTTATTCTCCAGATATGGCCCAGTGACTACTGGCTTTCTTCAGATCTCAAAAAGCACCTCCAAGGCAAGAGATATCGATCAAATGAAGAGGTGATTGTCGATACTGAGACCTATTTTGAGGGTAAAAGTTCATCTTTCTACAAAAATGGCATAGAAAGGTTGGAGAAGCGCTGGACTGAGTGTATAGCCGTAGATGGAAACTATATTGATGAATAAAACAAAATTTTCAAAAAAAAAAGTGTTTTTCCTTGTTAGGCCGGGAACTTATTGAGCGGTGTGATAAAGCCCACGAATGATTTTATTGGCGCCATAAGTAAGTTTGCATAGATTAGACACCTCGCCGTTGGGGGCAGCAGCCAGTCCCATGAATGTATCCAGCAAGCAGTTCACGATATGCCTTGGGCGGTCAAAGCGTTAATTTAAGCGTTACCATACTGAATCATAAACTGATTCCTTAATGGACATGTGACTGAGAAGATTGGCCGCTTGCAAAGTCCCACTCGGCATGTTTCTTTCCACTGGGATTGTCTAGTAGATCTCCACCACTAGTGTAAGAAATAAACGGGAATACATTTATGCAGAACTAAAAATATATCATGGCTGCCGATGCGAACGCGTGGATCACATTTCTGAACTTAAGCTTACGTCCTATACGTTGCGTCATGAGTGCACTGGTACTGAATTGTGGCATATCGACCGAAATGATGCTAGTAACGTATTTTCCATTAATTTTCGAACAACACCTTTTGATTCTACTGGCCTTCCAAATATATTAGAGCACTTATCGTTATGCGGTTCAAAAAAATTTACTGTCCGGAATCCTTTCTTTAAAATGCTTAATCGCTCGGTAGCGAGGTTTATGAATGCAATGACTGGACCGGATTATACGATTTATCCCTTTTCCACTATTAATGAGATGGACTTTAGGAATTTGCAGCGCATTTACTTGGATGCCGTATTTAGGTAGGATCAAAAAAATGAACAAATGTAAATTTTAATTTTCTCTTTTCTGATTAGGCCGAATCTTGCGTATTTGAATTTTCTCCAAGAGGGCTGGAGACTTGAGAATAAGGATATACATGATAAAAATTCACAGATTGTGATCAAAGGAGTGGTTCACAACGAAATGAAGGTAGCCTTTGGTCAGAGTCTACTTAGTAATGTTTTTCCTGACCATACATATGGTCATGTGTCTGGGGGGAATACATTAGATATACCTCAGTTATCTTATTCTGATTTAGTTGATTTTCACAAAAAATACTATCATCCAAGTAACTGCCGTATATACTCCTACGGCTTATTTGATCCAAACAAAACACTACAACTTCTTGATAAAGAGTATTTATCAAAGCAAACTTGGATTGACAACTCGTACAGGCGGATACCTCAGCAAGAGAGATGGACAAAAGCGCGCAACGTTCACATTTCGAGTAGACTAGATAATATGGGTGCGACAATTGATAAGCAGAACCAAATCGCTATCGCGCTGCTAATGTGTGACTTGACCAACATTCACGAAAGTTTTGAATTAAATGTCCTGTCTGAGGTACTAATTGACCCAACTCTGCATTTTTCAAAAACCTAATAGAACCAAACTTTTCTGGCGGTTACAACCAATGCACAGGATATTTATCGAACTCTAAGAACACAGCTTTCGTCGTGGGATTACAAGATCTTCGAGTTAAAGACTTTACGAAGTTTATCGAACGTTTTGATCAAACCATTTTTAACGCTATGGCTTATGGGTTTGAGTCACAGCACATCGTCACTAAGACACCAGAGTTCCAACTTCGGAATATTGTTGTTGCTTAATTCTACAGCTTTGTGGAATCATGAAGGCGACGTAGTCAGTAATCTCCGCGTATCAAATATGATATCAAGGCTGCGGGCAAGTCTACGTCAGAACAATAACTATTTTCAAGACAAAATGGAACAATACTTTGCCAATGACAATCATAGACTAGCATTGACCATGTCGCCTGATGAGATATATGAAGATAACTTTACAAAAGCTGAATTGGAGTTGGTAAGGCAAAAAGTAAAAAACCTTGGTAAAAAAAAGTTAAACCAAATGTATAGGAATGGATTAATACTAGATGCATTTCAAAGAACTAAAACAAATACTGAAGTATTACCGTGTCTGACAATGAACGATGTCAGCGAGCCACCAAAAATACCGAAAGTTTTTATTCGACATATCCTAAATGTTCAGACCCAGATATGCAAAGTCTCGACAAACGATATTACATATTTTAAGTGCCTGTTTAATATAACGGATCTGAGCATGGAAGAATCACAGCTTGTGCCTCTGTTTTGCAATGTCATTAGTGCCATAGGCACCGCAACGTATAATCATCAGGAATTCGATAAGCAAGTTCTTTTAAAAACCGGTGGCATCCATTTTACTGTAAATTTAATTGAAGATGTGAATGATACAAAGAGAGGGTCAGTTTAATGATGGCCACACACGCACTTGAAAAAAATGTTTTGAACATGATTGTTTTGTGCCAAGAGTTGCTTACAAACTTTAGATTTAAAGATTTGGACCGTCTTAGAATGCTTATTGACAATTATGTATCAAACAAAGCTGTAGGAGTGTCAAGCTCTGGTCATTTGTTTGCTATATTAGGAGCGACTTCATTAGTTAGTGATGCTGGTAAACTTAAGTGTCTTTTATCCGACGTAGATCATATAAATTTCATGAAAAATTTCTTACAAGTAACTAACGAGCTTGAAATTCGTGATAAGTTAGCATCGATTGGAAGGAAGGTATTTACCAAGAATAATATGCGTGTGGTAATTAACAGTACACTATCTTACTTGTCATCGGCTATTAAACATTACGAAGATTTTTTGAAAACATTGCCAGACTTTGAAAAAACCAACACATGTAGTAAGATCCCCTTCAACCATTCTACGGATTGGCCCTGTTGTGATATTGCTTCCTGTCCGTGAAATCTCACAATAATGGGACACAGCTTGGACTAGGCGTCCTTCTTCATCTGCACACACCTCCTTTACGCGTTTTTGGAGTTTTCCTTCCATATTTAATTTGCACGAACACCGCCAAAGATTAAGTTTCTTATTCTTTAAGCCGCGGCTAACTGCGTTAATCGAAATTCACTCGCTGAATCTGGTATTTTTTCTGGTATTTCCTTAGCTCATCTGAGTACTGCGCTGAGAACAGACCCGACGAAAAGCGTTAGCTCGCTATTTTCGTCGATGTGAGTACTAGGCTTTAAAGCCAGAAAATATATAAAATAAAACAAGAAAGAACGCTATAGTCGAGTACCTCGACTATCAGATACCCGTTACTCAGCTAAAGGGACCAAAGGGAAATGGAGATATGCAAGCGAGATTGAAATGCGCCACCTACCCGTGATCTCAATATATGATTTAAGCGTTATGGGCGGTAGAATGAGTGTGGCAAACTTTAAATCAATCGATATGTATTGACGAGACCAATACATTTCAGTTAAAATTTTTTGTCTAGCATGAAAATTGTGGGCGCCACATGTTTGGGCGGTTTGTGAGTGGGCGTGGCATATTGGCGTAACAAACTTGCGCTGCGTAAAAGGCTACGGAATCTAAATCTGAGATCCCAATTCTCTATCTTTGATAGTTTGCGAGATATCCGCGTTCATATACACGATTTTTTGAAGTTTGTGGGCGTTAGAGTGGGCGTGGCACCCTGCTGAAGAGTCTGCATGCCAAATCCCAATAGCCTAGCTCATATAGTTCCCGAGATCTCAGCGTTCATCCAGACGGAAGCACAGACGGACAGACGGACATGGCTAGATCGACTCGGCTAGTGATCTTGATCAAGAATATATATACTTTATGGGGTCGGAAACGCTTAGTGTATGGTAAGCTATTTACATGGTGGTTCTGTATTAAACGACTTTTCATTTATCGTTTTAACTCGGCCCAGCAATTTTCTCAAATTTTCTTTTACTTTACGAATAACGGGTATAAATACCCAATATTCCAATCCCACTATTCCACATTCGATGCTAACTCACTGGCGCTATTTTGACGAACAAACAATTCTATAGCCAGTATTTGCGACATTACTGAAAAAGTCATACCAGCGATTTTAATATTTATATGTATTATGTTTTATAGCCACTTGTCAATAGCGTTAAAATTGAATTTGTTTATTTAAAGTGAGTTGATAGTTGTTATTTTGCGTTGTCCCGTTTTGTTTACTAGAAAATCTTTTTAACGTTTAGAACAGACATGTATTAATGGCTCCTTTTTTGGTCATCCATATAGCCAGCTGATTTAAATCCTTTTGAGCCGTGGATACTTACATACTCACATAGTTAAGTTTATGTTAAAAATGTGTTTATCATTTGTAAACACAACGATGTTATCTGGGTTGAAATTGCTGAGGTCTGCACATACCCATTTCGTGCGGGCTCAATTCAAGAAATTATCTAAATTTGAGATGTCTGGAGCCAAATTATTCTCAATAAATCAAGTAAATATGCCAAGTGTAATAAATAAACGGGAATACATTTATGCAGAAGGAAAAATATACCATGGCTTCCGATGCGAACGCGTGGATCACATTTCTGAACTTAAGCTTACGTCTTATACGTTGCGTCATGAGTGCACTGGTACTGAATTATGGCATATCGACCGAAATGATGCTAGTAACGTATTTTCCATTAATTTTCGAACAACACCTTTTGATTCTACTGGCCTTCCACATATATTAGAGCACTTATCGTTATGCGGTTCAAAAAAATATCCTGTTCGGGATCCTTTCTTTAAAATGCTTAATCGCTCGGTAGCGACGTTTATGAATGCAATGACTGGACCGGATTATACGATTTATCCCTTTTCCACTATTAATGAGATGGACTTTAGGAATTTGCAGCGCATTTACTTGGATGCCGTATTTAGGTAGGATCAAAAAAATGAACAAATGTAAATTTTAATTTTCTCTTTTCTGATTAGGCCGAATCTTGCGTATTTGGATTTTCTCCAAGAGGGCTGGAGACTTGAGAATAAGGATATACATGATAAAAATTCACAGATTGTGATCAAAGGAGTGGTTTACAACGAAATGAAGGGAGCCTTTTCTGAAAATGCACACGTATTTGGTCAGAGTCTACTTAGTAATGTTTTTCCTGACCATACATATGGTCATGTGTCTGGGGGGAATCCATTAGATATACCTAAGTTAACTCATTCTGATTTAGTTGATTTTCACAAAAAATACTATCATCCAAGTAACTGCCGTATATACTCCTACGGCTTATTTGATCCAAACAAAACACTACAACTTCTTGATAAAGAGTATTTATCAAAGCAAACTTGGATTGACAACTCGTACAGTCGGATTCCTCAGCAAGAGAGATGGACAAAAGCGCGCAACGTTCACATTTCGAGTAGACTAGATAATATGGGTGCGACAATTGATAAGCAGAACCAAATCGCTATCGCGCTGCTAATGTGTGACTTGACCAACATTTACGAAAGTTTTGAATTAAATGTCCTGTCTGAGGTTCTAATACGTGGACCCAACTCGGCATTTTTCAAAAACCTAATAGAACCAAACTTTTCTGGCGGTTACAACCAATGCACAGGATATTTATCGAACTCTAAGAACACAGCTTTCGTCGTGGGATTACAAGATCTTCGAGTTAAAGACTTTACGAAGTTTATCGAACGTTTTGATCAAACCATTTTTAACGCTATGGTTTATGGGTTTGAGTCACAGCACATCGAAAGCGTTTTGCACAATCTTGAGTTGTCACTAAAACACCAGAGTTCCAACTTCGGAATATTGTTGTTGCTTAATTCTACAGCTTTGTGGAATCATGAAGGCGACGTAGTCAGTAATCTCCGCGTGTCAAATATGATATCAAGGCTGCGGGCAAGTCTACGTCAGAACAATAACTATTTTCAAGACAAAATGGAACAATACTTTGCCAATAACAATCATAGACTAACATTGACCATGTCGCCTGATGAGTTATATGAAGATAACTTTACAAAAGCTGAATTGGAGTTGGTAAGGCAAAAAGTAAAAAACCTTGGTAAAAAAAAGTTAAACCAAATGTATAAGAATGGACTAATACTAGATGCATTTCAAAGAACTAAATCGAATACTGAAGTATTACCGTGTCTGACAATGAACGATGTCAGCGAGCCACCAAAAATACCGAAAGTTTTTAATCGACATATCCAAAAAGTTCAGACCCAGATATGCAAAGTCTCGACAAACGATATTACATATTTTAAGTGCCTGTTTAATATAACGGATCTGAGCATAGAAGAAACACAGCTTGTGCCTCTGTTTTGCAATGTAATTAGTGCCATAGGCACCGCAACGTATAATCATCAGGAATTCGATAAGCAAGTTCTTTTAAAAACCGGTGGCATCCATTTTACTGTAAATTTAATTGAAGATGTGAATGATGCAAAGAGTTACAGGGTCAGTTTAATGATGGCCACACACGCACTTGAAAAAAATGTTTTGAACATGTTTGATTTGTGCCAAGAGTTGCTTACAAACTTTAGATTTAACGATTTGGGCCGTCTTAAAATGCTTATTGACAATTATGTATCAAACATATCTGTAGGAGTGTCAAGCTCTGGTCATTTGTTTGCTATATTAGGAGCGACTTCATTAGTTAGTGATGCTGGTAAACTTAAGTGTCTTTTATCCGGCGTAGATCATATAAATTTCATGAAAAATTTCTTACAAGTGACTAACGAGTTTGAAATTCGTGATAAGTTAGCATCGATTGGAAGGAAGGTATTTACCAAGAGTAATATGCGTGTGGTAATTAACAGTA